TAAAAGTCAAACTAGACGAATACACTAGGAAGGATGAGTATAATTTTTAGGTAACACATACCTACATACATATGTTGTTATTCGTATGCATGAAGATATAATAACGTCCTTTGTCCCAAAATTAACTTCACCCTTTACTTTTCCGTTCCTCCCAAGATAATCTTTACACTTCTTTCATTTCCTTTTAAGGCAATGAATATGCTGCTCACAATGGTTTTCTCTCTTCTAAACAAATTCCAACCACACTTTACTTTTACAACACTTTTCTTAAATTCTATGAAGGCAAAGAGTGAATTTAATTATGTGACAGAGTAAATATATTACTAGAACTTTTTATTTTTAGCATCAAAGGAAGAATTAGTTGTGCATTTTTTATTCATTGTCTTGGCATGTGTCTTTTAAGGTACGAGAAGTAGATGGTTATAAACTTGTTCAGATCAGAAACCCATGGGCAAATGAGGTTGAGTGGAATGGTCCTTGACCTGATTCATCGCCTGAATAGACAGACAGGATGAAACACAAGCTCCAACATGTCCCCCAGGTAGCTGATTCTATTTGTTGTATTTAATATTTATATTAAGTACTTGGGTCATAGTGTGCTATCTCTGTTTTATGAATAAAAAATACCTTGTTTTGTATGGAAGGATTACAAGTCTTTTCGTTGATTAATGTTGAACACAGGCAAAAGATGGCATATTCTGGATGTCTTGGCAAGATTTTCAAATACACTTCAGGTCTATTTATGTTTGTCGTGTGTATCCACCGGATATGCATTATTCTGTTCATGGACAGTGGCGAGGTTGTAGTGCTGGTGGCTGCCAGGATTATGATACATGGCATCAGAACCCACAATTTTGTCTGAAAGCCAGAGGGCCCGTTGCTTCTTTGCCCATTCATGTTTTCATTACCTTAACTCAGGTACTATTTAACTTCTAACTTCTGTTTATTAGATATAGAGAACTAAGTATGTGCGTTGTAATGTTCTTGGCCTCCCCCCACCAACAACACTACCCAAACTTTAAGAAATATGCAATGGGCTGGCTACATTAGAAAATCTACTATGCTTATTATGCCCCAATGCTCGGGACTCCTTAGATGTTCAGTTCAAGTCATCTTCAATCTACTCTGACTCCTTGGAGGGTAAGTCAATACTATTGGTTAATTTATCTCTTATTATTGTTTATCTCTAAGGAGTTTCACTTCATATTATGACAGATAGGAGCAACAATTCTCTTAGTTCTCCTCCTTCTAGTTCTAGCTATCGGTGCAATTCATTATTGGGCCTCAAATAATTTCTATCTGACAAGGGTTTAGATGCTAGTTGTTTGTTTTCTAGCTTTTCTTGTGGCTTTGGCGGCCTTTCTTGTTGGATGGTTTCAAGGTAAGATCATTTTCTTATATATCACTCGTGATGATATGATTCACAGAATTGTGTTTCTTGTCATTTAAAACCTCCAACTTCTCCTCAACCTCCTTTTTCCGTTTTGCTTTATCACTTGTCACATCGACTTTGTTTTTTGCCTGCCAAAGAGTAAATGAAAATTAGATAATTCATGTGACTAAGAATACAAATGTGAGGTCTTTAAAAGAAAAAAATGAGATGGTAAAAAAGGTGTGGCCTGTCCAAAAGATTTTCATTTGGAAGTCAAAATGTTTGTATCCCTCTTAAAGTCTTAAGTTGCTCCGTACTTTGCAACTCTTAATCAAAATTTTTTTTGTATCGGGAGCTATCTGAACTTGTAGAAATAATTTAAGAAAAACATGATGAACTTTGTTCATTTCATGTACAACAACAACAAATCCAGTAAAATCCCGCAAAATTAAAGTCCGGGAGGTTGGGTTTAGGTCGACCTTGCCCCTACTTGAAAGTAGAGACTAGAGAGGCTGTTTCCAAGAGAACCCCGACTAAAGCACAGTCAACGTAAACCATCAAAACGGACACAAAGCATATGAAAGAATAAAAGCCAAGAGCAAAAATGTTGTAAACAGTTAACATTGTTGTTGTATCTTTTTACTTACTTTCCTTTGAAGAACAGAAAAATGTAAAAACAACAAGAAATGAATTGTTTCTTATGCAGCGGGATGATTGTCGTATTCTTCATGGAATTTTCACCTATGAAAAAGGGAAATTTAACCGAATATTTTCATCACTTCATCCGAAAAAATAGGATCATTTCCTGCTTCTCCACACCTTTGAAGTCAGGGTCTTAGCCCTTAAAAATTCTATACCAACATTTTGCTTGAATCTTAGTTTGAACAAGTGTGCCTAGGGGGCACTAGCTTACTTAGTTGCATCGCTTAACATGAGCCAGTGCATTGTGCACACCTTCCTTGCCTTTTTATCCAGGCACAAGGCGCAATATCTTGAGTGCTCTCGGAATGCTATGATTGTTTCTTTTGATTATTTTTCTTTTAGTCGAAAAATATGGACACCTACTCTACATAACAAAATGCACCAGGGCCTCCAAGAAAATACTGTTTGGTTTTTGTTTGAATTCAGGAAGTTCAATAAATGATTATAGGGGCATGAAGAGTTGAATGAACCAAACTATTTTCTCCCACGCATCATGGTTTTGAGTTTCGTAGTTCCTTTTACAACCATTTCTTTACATATGATTACTTATCAAAAACACAAAGAAGAAATAAGATTAAATAGATCATGTTTCCATGATAGTCTCATAAAAGAACAGGGGATGCAAAATGAAGCAAGAAATGTAAATGAGAAGGTAAATTTGCATTCTGCAACTCCTTTTCTCGTGAAGGAAGCTAGAAAATAGAAATCAAGAGGAGATTAAAGCTAAACATAAAACAATAGCCCTTAGGTCATTCCAATGCAAACACACATTTCCTAGTGAAATCAGAAGAATATCTGGACATAAATTGTACTGCATGTAGTTTTTTGGGTTCTGCATTCTTAATAGGAGGGCTAACAGGTCCATTCATTCCCTACAAGATCCATTTCGACATCAGCGTGCTAGTATAATCTCATTCACAATGGTTTGTACTTATTAGGATGACCATTCTTAGATTTTAGAGTTGTATCATATCTACCATTACACCTATATTTAGCAAACACAAAGATCTAAATTCATGAGAACAACAACTGCACATTTATAACACTGATCATTATGGAGCATAAAAAATAAATATAAAAATAGCAAAAAAAATATACACATATAGATAAAACAGCATAATAGTATGAAGCATAGAAGAATATAAGCATACTTCATTACTTGGATTCACTGGAGTCTCAGATTTCTCCCCTTTTACAACATCGACCTTAGTTTCAAGCACCGGATCAGATCCCTCAACCAATGGACATTATTGGAAGAATAAATGAATTTGGAACGAAAAAAGTTAGAATGTCCCAAAAGGCAAATTATTGTATGGATTTAAAATTTATAGTGTCTATGGTAAATCTTCATATATGTTTAATAAATACTACTCGTATTTCTTTTGTTTTTTAGTATTAGTTTACTTTTGACTTTTTTCAATCAAAATTGGTAAATTTTGCCTTAAAACTAAATAAAAATGATACTAGATATTGATACAAAAATAGTTTTATTATACTTATTATATAAAAAAATTTAAAATATTATTTTATCTAATTAATATACATTATACATTTCATTAAATTATAGATCAAAGGTTGAATTACAATATACTAGTATCAACCCCGTGCTTCGCACGGGCTCGTATGCATTCTAAACTTTTGACATTCTATAAATATAATTTTATTTATTTTAAATGAATATTTTTTTCACTCTAAGATATGCAGAGTATATTTTTTAAATAAAAACTATACTTTAAATATTGATGTGCATGCACTAAAAATTCTATAATTATTTTATTAAAAAAAATTATATTGAATAAAACATTAAAATGCCAAAAACAATTTAATATCTTTGGAGGTGAAATGTTTTTTCATTTTTTGAAAGTGAAATATTTTTAAATTAATAATTGAGAGTCTTATACATACTCTTTTTAAAATTCTGCAATCAATATGCATGTTTAAAATACTCAGTATATTTTACAATAGTGAATATATATTTATAGAGTCGTTAGAAAATGTTAAAGTTTATACAAAATATAATCAGTTTAAAATACTGAGTATATTTTACAATAATAAAATATACATTTATAGAGTCGTTAGAAAATGTTAAAGTTTTATATAAAATATAATCAAAGTAATGTTTATTTATGCTAAAAAATAATATCCATTTAATATAATACAATAAAATATATTAAAAGATTTTTAAAAAAAGCTTAAAGAACCAATGAAATTCCTCCATCTCATAATTAGTGTACATGTGGATGCACATGTGGCATGCCACATGCCAACACCACAACTAAGAAACTCAACTTTACATATATACTAGTATTTTAACCTGTGCCATGCACGGGTGGAATGAAATTCTTTTTTATTATACAATATCAAATATTTAAACAACTTAATTTTTTTAATGTTATATATCATTTAAATCTCACACACACATATATAAATGTATACACACACACACAATATAGGTTTACTAAATTATTACAAATATATAATTCTTCTCACCCCCTGAATACAAAAAATATTCGACAAAAACATTGGTGATTTTATTATTTTTCTCCCCCGCATTTTTTTTTAACAAACTTAGAGTTTCGATCTTGTAATTTTAATATAAAAAAACCATGATTCTTCTCCGCCAGATTAATTTACATTAACGGAAATATATGATTTTAATTTCTATGATGCATTAATGTGATTCTTTCTCTCCTTGGCGCTTTGCACTAACTAAAAATTGACTCTTTTTTCTTTTATTATTAAAAGTATGAAAACGTTAATTAACAATCATATGATTAGAAATATAAATTTTACAATACGTTAAAAATATAATGATTATTCTCCCTCGTATTATTTCAAAAATTATGTGAATGCAAAAAAACATTAGTGTTTCTATGATTTTAATGAAAGTTTACAAAAACTATTTCACAATTTTTACTCATTTTTTTGCTTTCTTTTTTAAATATTAAATCATTTAAGTGTGTGAAAGCATTTTGGTCAATACATAATGTTTTATAACATACAAAGAGTTACAATTTAAAAACTATATTTCTCTTTGATGTTGTAGTTTAACCTAAATCTTATTCACTTCTGCACATAAGATATTCTTCGTACTTCTCCTTAAATTACTGATTATCCTTGCATCTAAATTTTAATTGTAAAAAATCTTCACACGTTTCTCAACCTCCAGATCTTAATTTTCCTTATAGAAATATTTTTTGTAAAAGTCCATGTTATATCGTTTCATCTCTAAGAGTATCATTTTTTAAATTTCTTTGTATGATTGCGAAAATGAAGAAAAGAGAATCGAGCCATATTTCATCCGTCTCTTTTATTTTCATGTATCAATATTGTGAATTATCACCTAATATAAATTTATAAATGTTAAGTTACATCTTAAATATGGTAAGTTACTTTTGAAACCTTCTTTGATTAAAATAATATGTCAAATTATTAGAAAAATAAAGTGCAAAAGTCAAATTAAATAATCCTGTTAAGTAATACTCCGTATGGTTTAAACACTTAATATATATAATTTTAATATAGGGATTAAGAAGTATTGGTTATTTTACATCACTATTTAAATAAATGGAATAAAGCTAACTTCTCTTAATCATAACATAAAGAAATATGAAATTTTTTTTAAAGATAATGAGAGTAGTTTATATATTCATTAAAACTATTATTATAAATGAAATGAAAAAAAATTAAAACAATATTCTAATCAAAAATAAATATCTTTCTTTCTTAATTAAATACACTCAAAGATAATAAAATCATAAATAATGTTAGTGTAATATAATAAGTATATACGATATATTTTGTTTTAATCATTTGTCTTTTATAATATAATAAAAATAGGTTTAAATATGTTTTTATACCCTATAAAATAAGAAATTTTTTAGTCTCTGTAAAATATTTTTTTGATAAAGTCATCTCAACAAAATATTTTAATTTGAAAATAGTCCTTAACGTAATTAGAACTTCTAATTAGATGAGATAGTACATTTATTTCATACTTAACATATTAGTCATGTATTTCTAATTACATCCGATGCAATTTCTAAACCCTAAATTGTATACTTATTCATATTACATATATCTGGTTCTCAAATTTCTTACAAATATAATATAATTAAAATTTGAGAATTAAAAATGCAATTTGATAAAAGACACAATTGTTGACATCAAAATTGTGTCACAAAATAAATATGTTATCTCAACAACTTAAAAGTCTAATATATTTTACGTGCTTTAACAATTTATTTTCTAATCTTCTCATTTTTATAAGTTTCATTGTAGTTTTAAAATAAGTTTTTCTAATCTTCTCATATTTCAATAAATATAATCAAACTGACTGCTTTGATTTAAATATATCATAAAAATATGAAATTTATTTAGAAGTGAAGAAATATCTTATTAATTGCTTAGGCCAATTTGGTGAATTTTGGAGATATTATAAGATGTG